TGGTCTTGGACAAAAAGTAATGTGCTTATCTCTGTCTTGAAGCGAAGGCACAAGCCCAGATTTACCAATATTGGCTATATTTGGTAAACTTCAGTTCTGAATTTGCATGAGAGCTTTGGACCTCGTGTGTCATATTTTGTGAAGAGGTAGAAACAGTGAGGGTAGAAAATAGCTGTTATTCTTATGTTGCACCTCTTCTCAACAAAAGATAAAGATTTTTTGCACGTGAACAAAACCTGCAGGCTTGGCAGCAGGATTGAGCACATTGGCTCTGAAGGTCTGGTAGGTCAGTGATCCATGAGGTAGGATGGATTTGTTCAATAGACCAGAACAGCTCAGTTGGGGCCATTAAAGGACTTAGCAGTAAAAAATCCATGTTTTCAATTCCTAGGTCTGTTCAAACAGGTAAGCAGCCCATTTTAGCACATTCTCTTCCTCCCCTAAAAATTCATTGCACTTGTCAATGAGCAGAGAGACTGTAACAGGCTTTAGAAACCACACTGCCTTATACACGGGTAAGACGCTTTAAGAAAGGTCAAGAGTTATTTCCCAACCCTAAATGTTTACATGACAGATGCTAGTCTAATCTGTCTAGACCAATAACGCCCTTAACAGTGAGAAAAAAACCTGGCAAGTGAACTCCCAGATAAGTCTCCGTACCAGGTATGATTTAAAGAGACAACACACGTCTCTTAAAAGGGCTCATTGCATCCTACTGCTCCTAGTTAGTAGCTGAGAGCTCTCTCCCAGAAAGCAGCTGGTGAATTCTCCTTAGGGCTGCACCATCGTTTGGGTTGAATGTTAATCCTTGTTAACAGTGCTGCCTTGACACTCCTGGAAACCAAGCATTTTCCATGGAGTAGAGCTTTCTCCCCACTGGCGTACTTTGACCCCAACATGAAGTGATCACTTCTAGGAATAAGACAGCAGTTTAGTTTCCATTCATGCTTGGCCCTTCTACTCACACCAGAGGTTGTAACTGCAGTGTCAGAGGAGATACGTGGAGACCAGGACATGGATGGAGATCTCAGACAGCTTAAGACCACAGGCCGCAAAGCACCTAACAGGTCATAGTAGTTATTATTCAAGGAGTGCCTAGAGCAGTTAAGCACTCCAAGAGAAGGGCTTAGCACTTTTATTTTCCACTGGTCATGGCTGGAACAGCTTATGGGCCTAACTGTGGCTGTGGTCCATCCTGGTGTGGTCACTGGTCTTCCTTCCAGATCAATGACCTGTAACTGACTGACAACTTATTCGAAAGAGTAAATCAGTCTTGATTTTAAGACTTCAGAGGATTCATCAGTTTTCCTAATCCCTTGATGAATTGCTTTCCCTGATTAAAAAAAGCAACAACAACAAAAAGCATCTTATTTCACATCTGCATCTAAGGACTTACTGTTATTTTAAAGCTATTGAAGCTCTTGTTATTTAAAGAGGAACCTGATTGCTTCTTTAAAAAAATCAAGACAATGATAAGGTAATTTTTTTTTACCTAAATATTCCATTACCTATAGGATAAGGCATGACAAATAATGATTTGTTCAGCAACCCTACAACCCATACCTAGCCACAATGTGGTAAAATAAAGAAATTAACGGGAGCTTTTCCTTTGAATTCACTTGCAAAGGACCTCAGCATTTTAGACCATGAGATTTTTCTCTTTGAGTCACAGTGTAGTACTACATACTTTCTTAGTCTTCATGAATGCTTTGCTCTCATTTCACTACATATTAATTTGCATGAGATACTTGTGGCTTTAAAGAGGCAGCATTGGTTCTCTGTGCCTACCAGTCTAATTTCCTTCCATCTGAAAACAATCACAGAGTTCTGGAGGACATCATCAACATCCCTGTTCTGACAGGAGATGCACTACTTTTTAAGTGAATACACAGAAATAAAGACATCAGTCATATCTTTTTATGTTCATACAAGTGGCACTTCAAGTCAAAGAACACATTCCAAATACATTATTGTTCAAATTCTGTACATTTCTAAGTTCCCTGAGCAAAGCGAACCTTAATTAGCCAGCTATAATCCAAATTACAGTTTCTCATTTGTTAAAACTGTTAGAATACCTTAAATCAGGCTGCATATGCCTGAAATAATAATGAAAATAACTGCATTAGCAAAAATTATCTGAATGCAAGAGGGCTATAAATAGAGAGGAGGTGGATTGGACAGTCGGTGGATTCAGAGTTGGAATAAAAACATCTTACTTACGCCAAAAACATGGCAACCAGTATTTTCTGTTACAAAAATATTTGAGTTGAGTTTAGTTTTTATGAAAGCTGTCTGAAACTGAAATGAATAGCAGAAGTTCTCTGTTTATTTACAAGTCAGTGTTGATACCTGAAGCGTAAAGCAAGGCACCTTATGAGAAACGACAACAAACCTTTGATTGGATGCAAAAATCTTTTTGGCCAAGGGATAAGAATGAGTGTATGTTCATGCTCTCTCCGAGTAACCTCTACCTTGTTAACACTTGTCATTTGAGCAAAGTGTGACAGGTCTGTGAAGTGGATTACTACTGTCCACTAGAGGCTGTAATGAGACCAACAATGTCATTTCATGACAAATTGAAGACAGGCTGTAATGATCAATAATTCTAAAATTACTTTTCACACTCAATACATCATCAATCACTGGATTTCCCTGAATGTGAATGTTTAAAAAAAAAAAAGAAAAATCCAACTTCTTATGCCTCATTCTCCCCTTTTTTGTATAAAACATGCAGTGTAGATGACAGTGCAACTAGTGGATTGAAAGACAGTTTCTTCTAGACAGCGTGCATCTTGCATGTCAAATTGATTAATATCTTTTGGTCAAGACTGTATTCGGCTGGAAGTCACATCAGTTTCGGCATATCATCATCAGTACATAAAAATGCTTGGGTTGATGTGGGTTCTTGTGTCCCACTCGGCACCGTGGTGTCAGACCCCCTGTCCGTACTGCACTCAACCAGCTGACTAGCACCTCTCACGTATCTGTGCTCTCTTTCTCTCCCCGAGAAGGCTGTCAATGGAAGAGTTTTGTTTTGGAAGTTTGCTGCTCCCTTTGTGTATGCACCCCATGCTCTATGTGCTCCTCAGAAAGGAGGAGGTGATGGGGTTTAGGGTGGCTCTTACCTGCTGTGAGAGTGCACTGCAGGTACTTGGGCCCTGGCATAGAACCTGACCACTTCAGTGCTGAGTTACTTCTTCTCTTTATTCCCCTTGTCTGAACTATCCTGGTGGCAGGTAAAATCATGTCTACTTTCCACAGCAGATTACCTTATCTTCTGGTTTAGTTCTGCTCTTCCCTTCAATAGGCTGCACTGTCTTAGTAGATACCGAGGGGCCTTTGTCCTGACCATTCACCAAAGGTCATGTTCAGGTGCTGTTTCCCACCCTCCCTGCCTTCACCAGCACCTCCATATTCTGTGGTATTCTTTGTGGAGGGAAGATACTGAGCCCCAGTGTAGGCCTTCAGCAGGGGAAATGTGGAGCCACAAGGACGTCTTGTGACACGGTGGTATATATCCTGTGTGTCAGGCCTGGTCCCCTCATCTCTCGTCTGTTAACGCAACCAACGTATGTCGAGTCAGAACGGAGGTGAGGAATGGCTTCTGAACCTGTCCTGGCTGGTGACAGTGTGGCACTTCACAAAGCTGCCGGCTGGCTCAGGAAAAACAATATTGCTTTGACTTACAATGGACGTTTTAGGGGTCTCTCTGCAACTCTGAAGCAGAAACACGGACAAAGATGTAAAGGCCTAGAGCCTGGAGCGTGGCAAAAAAATTGCGGGTCCTGTGGCAAACACCGTAGCCACAGAGTAGAGGAATACACAAGCCTCTTACATGAGCCTGCTGCAGAAGGGAAAGTTGCCCAAAGCTTGCTTCAGCATGAATGTGGCTTCTCTTTCTCTGCGCGTGCCACACCTCTTGGCAAGGTGAACGTTTGAGAAGGAAAGATTCCTTTCTCCTGAGGTAACACACTCTGTACAACTGGAATAAAAAAGGTGGCAGACAGGAGAACGCCGCATACTCAGAACTGAACCCTAGTGATGGGGTTGCAGCTTCTCCGAGGCTTTCACTTGATTTTCAGTAATCTCCAGCCTCTGTCTCTCTCCCCTGGTTCCTTTTATTAAATCAATGAACCTTGCATTAGCTGGGTGAAGATAATTTTGCTGTCTGGTTTGCTGCTGTAGATCCACTGTCTCGTAGTGCCGAGCGGCACGTTTGTCCAGACATCTTGGCCTGTTGCTGCTTCTGTCCCCACACAGCTCCTAGAACAGAAAACGATGTTGGATTTCATAGTGAACCTGAACTAAAGATGCAGGGGGTGCTGTAAAACATCCTTATGTTGCATAAAGCTAGTCTGTATTACGGTACCAACTCTAAATCAAGAGCACTGCAGCTTACAATCTTAGTGTTGCGTTCTGTAGCAATTACGATGAACTAATGCAGTCATTTATAGAAGGGACTACTTTGCTGATCTGCATAATGACAGGCTGAGTACTCGAGTGCTTTACAACTGGGCTCTAATGCTAGATTTAATGGTAAAATCTAATCCTAATATCTAGTGCACATATAGGAGATATACCTGCATGAGAAACCCGGTACCTTGGAGCTTATTGTTGTGGCGAGTTGGTACAACCTGCAATCAACAGCCTGGTCTGGGTGGCCACGTTGCAGGGAGCGCACATCTGAGTGAGGCCTGTGACCCCACGGGGTCCAGCTCCATGGAGCTGGTACATAATGGCCTTTGGTATTTATGCAACATTTTTTGCAACGTCCTTGGGGTGGGGAGAGGCTCTCTCTGCGCTGCACCTCCTTTCCTGATGCCAAAGCAGAGAGCCAAGGGCTCCTCATGGACCACTGTCAGGCTGCCTGCGAGCATAGCAGCCTGCTGTCCTTTGGCTGTATTCCTCCCATTCATCGCTTCCATAATTTGTTTTATTTCTCCAAGTTGCACCTGGCATGGTAATTTGATGTTTTGCCTTTCCTTCCAAGACTTGAAGACGAGACTGAGTCAGTCCAGAAGGAGGATATTTTTGCCGGTTTCGCATCCGTGCTTGCTGTTTGCCCATCACTGCAGTTTATGGCACTGCAGAGACCCGTGTTGAGAGAAGCAGGAGAGTAAGGAGCTGACGCCGGGAGCGCCGGGGAAGTGTGAGTTGTTGGGGGGGGGGGAGTTTTGGAGAGGCTCGCCGTGGTCTGCCTACAGCTGGGAGGGATGCGAGGGGATCTTTGATGAAAGGCGTGCTGAGGAATCCAGAGGGAGTTAGTACCCAAACATGCGTGGTTCAGCCCTGCCTGTCTTGTAGTTCAGTGACGGTATGAGTCAGAGCCTCTTTGGTCTGAATGAAGTGGAAGGTACTTTCTACACAGCAACTCAAGCATATGCCAAGGATCCGGATAAATAAAACTAATTCAGAAAAAGGGAGTGGGATGCAGGCTCTTGCTCTATATCACTTCACAGTTCTCCACAGCAAAATGCAATATGGCATCTTAAATAAAATCACCCTCTTCTGACTCTCGCAGAGGCTGCTTCAGAGCATTCCCTGGCTTCCAGCACAGTTTTATTTCCTCCCTTAGAGAGACAGACCAGCCTTGACTGAGCAACTGATTTTCATGCATCCCTTCAACCAGCATTCCCTGCCATTTCTGAAGGACAGCACGCTTCGCTACCCGTCTCTTCCTCCCCCCCCTTAAACAATATCAGCTTGGGCTTGGGGTTTGTTATTTTTTTTTAATTTTTTTTTTATTTTATTTTTTCCCCTCCCCAGCTCATTTTCTTTCCGCCGTGCCAAGTGCTTTGAGATCCCCGCGACACAGCTTTGCCAGAGGAGCGGAGAGAGGGACACACACGCACACTCACACACACACTCACACACGCGAGACACGGGGACTTCTGTGGAACAGCAGCCGTGCGCAGGGATCCATCCCGCTGGAGAGCCCTGGCCTTTGAAGTGTTACGAGGAGGAGGAGGAGGAGGTAAGTGGCGAGGCGACCCCCCCCCCCCCCTTCC